GGAGGGCGGGAGGGGGAAGGGAGGGCGACGTACGGCGTCAGGGCCCGCGCCGCCGCCGCCATCATGGGGGGGGCCCGGCCCTTGCCGTCGCCGCCGCCATGTTGGGGAGGTCGCGGCCTGCGGGGAGCCCACGGGTCTTGGGGGACGCAGCTCCTCGCGCGGCACCTATGGGGTTTAGGCACGAGCCGTTCCCACCAGAAAACCCACGGGACTTAGGTGCACGCAGCTCCTCGCGTGGCACCTACGGGGTTTAGGTGCGCACAGGTCCCAGCAGGCACGGTTTCCACTTAAAACCTACAGACTTTAGATGCACTCAGCTCCTCGCATGGCACCTGTGGGCTTTAGGCATGCGTGGCTCCAATTGTAGGCTTTCGACACGAACAGTTCCTACAGGCTGTAGACGTGCATAGTTCCCAGCACGATGCCTGTGGGGATTTAGGGGCAAATAGTGCCCCACATCGCACCTACGGGCTTTAGACATGCGGGGGGTCCCAAGGGAGCATTTACGCAACCTTAGACATGCACGGTTCTCAATGTAGCACCTACACGGCTGTCGATGCACCGTGCCCAATGTAGCACCTATGGGCTTTAGACACGCAAGGCCACATCCTACAGGTGGGATTAGTCCACAAGCCAAATCCAGCCTGGGATGATCAGCATGCAGGTCTTTCCATGGGTGCAATCCAGGACAAACCTGCATGCTGGATCTGACTGCAGAGCGACCCAGGTACTGATGCAATCTGACACAGGGAGCCATGCCATCTAGCTTGCAGGGCTCCCCACGGGTGTGGAAATGGGGTGGAGGTGGAGCAGTGGCAGCATAAATGTCACTGCCACCGAATTGCCAGACCTGTGGGGTGCCCCATGGGCAGGACGGCATGGCCCCACAGACCGCGTTCGACCCGTGGGTTGGAGGTTGAGTACCACTGTTCCAGAGCGCTAGCCAGCCTGTTGCAGTGTGCTCAGCATGAAATGGCAATGGCATGCCAAGAGGGATGCCAAAGCACGCTTCTCTAGGGAGGACCAAGCCAGACCCATTTCAAATGCAAAATACTGACATGCAGGAGTCAACTGAGTTTCCTCAGTTTTGTGGTTAAGGGATCACAGCAGCGTGTTGAGCAGTGAGGTGATTGCTGCGGTCTGTGGTCAAAGCCGATTTGTCTGCGTGAGCTCCTGGAGAGCGGCACAGGCATTAAATGGCCATTTCATGGGACAAGGCAGTGATTTCCCAACTGGGACTTCTGCCCAGGATGGGACCTCTTATTCTTACCACAGTTAAGGAAAATGGGACAGTGTGCATGAAATGCAAATGGCACTAAGAGTGTCTGCTTCTAACAGGAATAGAAACTGCAGAACTGCAAGTACCTACTGCCACTCAACAATGAAAAGTATTGATGTGAAACCTAATAATTTCTTATTATTGATATATTACTATTATGCCCAGGCACCTCTGAAGAAGGTGGCATAGATATGCCCCTTGTGACTAATGAAATAAGCTACATAAGATCAGAGCCTTGTTTTGCTGCATCCTGTATGGACATAAAAGATAGTCCCTGCCCAGACAGAATGCAGCCTAAATGGGGTTTAAGGCATGACAGGGCATCCAAAACATGTATGAGTAGGAGGAAGGAGGCACAGAATAAAAGGGCTTGCATATTGTGAGCACTGTAGTACAACTGGGGCTAACAAGGGGACTTGAAGAGAGAATTGGTTGGGAAGTTGTTGAGGGGGTTCCCCCACATATAAGAGGCAGCATAAAAAACAGCAAAAAGGTGCCCAGGGAGTCGGGGGCGACAACGTATCAAGAGAAAAGGTGGGATCATTGGCAGGAAAAAGGACACAGAGACGAGTCTGTAGCTATCACAACCCCCGTAAACACTTGTAAAAGGTACAGCTAAACATGGAGTGACAAAACACTTTTACACTTCCATAAATGATTTATGAAGTGTTCATGGAAATGAGGTGAAAAATGAATTACAAATTTACAGTCTGCTGAGGAAAATATCTGTGGTAATGATCTTAATTTATATAGCATATTCCATCCTCAAGGGTCCTTGGAGCACAGTTGGATTCAACAGCAGTCTAGACATCTGCATAAAAGTTATCATATTAGCCAAGGTAAGATCTTGGCTGGCCTTCTTCCTGAGTACTAGCTGTCATAGCCCACTGCCCAATAAAGTGAATCACCTGTGGTTTGGTATGTTCTAGTAAATTACTGTGCAGTTAGTGGGAATAGGTCATGGTCTACACGTGGAGCTGTTAAAGCGCATTAATGCTGTGTGTGGACTGACTTGGGACTAAAGTTAGTCTCAGGTCAGTCCACATACAGTGTTACTTCACAGTAAGGCATCTACACATGTGTTACTGCACAGTAACTAATTGGGTGTAAATTTGGTACCTGCATGATACAAAAATTGTGTCAGCCTCTGGTTGCACACGGTGCAGTTGCAAAATGATGGTGGAATGTGTATCTGGCCAGCTGAAGGCACACGGCACTGCCTACACACCCATTTGGATGCCAGCATGTGTTACATTGCTGTGTATATTGTACAGCATTTTGTGAGGAGGAAGAGCACATTAGCCAGGAATGAGACGCACAGTGGTATGTCTACATGTGCATTTACACTGGCTTAAATTTACTGCGCAGTAAATTACTGTGCAGTAAGCAGGAATAAGCCCGCATCTACATGTACAGCTGATAAGCGCATTAATGCTGTGTGTGGACTGACTTGAGACTAAAGTTAGTCCACATACAGTGTTACTGCGCAGTAAAGTGTCTACACATGTGTTACTGTGCAGTAACTAATTAGGCGTAAATTTGATACCTGCATGATACAGGTATCAAATTTATGCTCAAGTCAGCGTAAGTCACCTTATTTACTGTGGAATACGCATAGACGTGCCCAGTCAGTTACTGCGCAGTAAATGCACACATGTAGATGTGCCCAGTCAGTGTCAGAAAATGCACCTCTCATAACTGGGACTGGGTCCAGGGATGTAAGAGATGCCTTATCTGTCACATCTTCGGTTTGAAAGGAGGAAATGGGGGGAAGGATAATGTGAGCACTATCCTTCAAAGGTGAGATTTTGTTAGTCTGAGACATCATTGAAATCATTGCTGTAAAGGTCCCATCTCTATTGGAAAGTCCACCAGAAATTGTGTGTCAGCCTCTGGTCAGCCAGCAGATATTTTCCTGCATGTTATCACTATTCAAGTGCTGTAGAGATGCAATAGAAATGTTGCCAAAACTGAAGGCTCTGTGCAGCATGGACTTTTAAGTGCTGAACACATCTATATAACCTGGTAGGTGACTACCCAGGCAGCAGATGGGAGGAGGTAGATGGTAAGAACATATTGACCAGGGCTGATTATGATAGGGCTGGGAAGGCTGAGTTAATTACTCTGCATCCACTCTGGAAGGTAGGTGGATTTCCCAATCTGAAAGTGAATAGCACTTCAGCATTAACCTATCATTTTAGTTGTGCTGGGTAATCTGGTTTGATATGTAGATTAGAGACTTCTCTGTCCTGCCAAGAGCCAAATTTGGGGCAAGAGCTAAAAAAAGACCCCCGGGTTTTTTCTTGGGTAAAGACATAATCTACTTTTGATTTAACCAAGTCATAGTTCAAAGATTAGCACTTGGCTCTCACAAAAAGGGACGTGGGATTCTAATGCCCATAAATTGGCAGGGATGTGGCTTTTGTGTTTTGTCCAAAAGGCAGCACCCCAGCAGAGCTGCACCTCGTAACGCTGTCCTGGTGAATTGACTCAAGGATGGTAACTCGAAGAGAATTGCTGTTACCTACTGACCCACTAATGCCAATGCTGTGTCTGCACTATACCTTTGACAGACATTTTCCATCCTTGCACTGCCGTCATGGAAGCTCCATGGACACAGCAATATGGCAGAACTAGTATAGACAGGACACCCGCATTTTTTAGGGCCAAGCTGCACAGATGAGCCCTACACCATTCTTGTCACCAGTGGAGCAGGGTGGGGGAATGCTTTCACAGACCCAGCCATAGCTGTAGGTGTTCCTTAACGATCTCCTATGCAAATGCTGAACAGCCTTGACAGCGCTTATCTTAGGTGAACAGATGGATTGCAGCAAACAGTGTATGTTATGCTGCTGGGTAAATATGGGGTTGGTCTTTGGTGTGCTGAAACAAGTGGGCTGTACTGCATTCATGGCTACAGTTATGCTATAGGTCTATTTTCCACAAAATGGCCCATCTGCTTCCTTAAATTTAAAGCAGCTGTTGCCTGTTGGCAATACTTAGCTGGCTGTTTTTAACCACTTTAAGGTAGAATCCTGGCTTCTTAGCATCTTAGGAGAGAAAATGGTTTTTTTACACACTTTAATGTATCTTAGAGGTGTAGATGAGAAAAACACCCAATACACCCAGTATGGCACAAACTAAAATTATTATGCCAAAAAAACTAAAGCAATTTTTGACATATATGGTGTAGCTCACAGAGAAAAAATGTAATTAAATTATTGCTTGAGACCTCCTCTCAGTTTTCAGAGAGCTAATATAATATTGCATCTACTCCTTTGTTTTAGTGAGTGGGTCTTTGCAATGTTGTTGTTCAGTAATGCACAATAAAGTAGATTGGCATGGCTCATAAAAAGCTAGGCTGTTTTTCATTACTCTAGGGAGAACATTGCAGCTGGTTTGTAAGTAGAATTATGATTCTGGAAATACTCCTGATGCTACACTACCTAGGTAGGTAGAGAGGACACGAGCTGTTCTTTTGCTTGAACAACTCCTAGGCCACATCCATATGGTCATGTGTTATGTGGCATCACAGACCCATTTGCGCCACCACACTGCATATTCAGGCATTCCCTGTGCTGCTGCCTTGCAGGATGAGGGGTTTTTTTGACCCCGGGAGATCCCAGTGTCAAAAAAACCTGCGTGGAAAAAATAAAGTGTGGTGGCACATGTGGCAGCAGTGCACGCTCCCCAAAACCGGAGCCTGGCCAGTCACAGCCAAAATCCAGCTGCCGGCCAGGCTCCCACCTGTGGGATCACCATGGCTGCAGCTTCCCTAGCCTCCAGGTGAGACTGTTGGGGCCAGCAACTGTGCTGGCCCCAGCCTTCCCTACCCCACCCAGGGTAACCTGCCCCATGCCAGGGCACGCACAGGCACGGGCGTTCCCCAGGGACAAGCAGCAACAGCACAAGGTGTCCGCTGCTACTTGTCCCTGGGGAACCAAACATCTGCACTCATCTGGGCGCAGCCTAAGAATCCATTTTGTTACGCTAGGTATATACAGTAATTTCTACCCAGCTGCAATCGTCATACTGAACCACGAATAGTAAGATGAACTGGTTTAGCTTAGGCCACCATGTGACAAGGTTCTCTATCAAAATGTTTTTTCTGATATTGTCTGATTATTCTCTCTCAAATGTTACGCTTTGCTTCTCGCTCTTCCTCCTTGCATCATCCCATATGATTATTCCCTTCAAATATTTTTTAGCTTATGGTGTTTCCTTCTGCTCATGTTACTTAGTCAAGTTCTATATATTTCGTTTCCTTATTTTTTCCTCTTCAACTGTTTTAATTTTTCCTCATATGGTGCAGCACAGACCTAGAGATGCTATCTGCTGAAACATGAGATGGAGCACAATAGAGAATGGAGGATACAATATATGGATGGCTTTAACGTTCAGTAGACTATCTGAGAGAGAGAAGGAGGTAATTTTTCTCACAATTCGGTTCCTCCAGCCTTCAGCCTAAGCTTGTTCATTTTCTTTGACTTCTTTCCAGTGTGTCAATACCTTTCTGATGGAGATGTCCAGAGCTGATTGCACTATTCCACATCGAGTTCAACTGGGGCAAGTTGGTCAGTGCCGCCTCTCTGTTCTGGGATTCATTACCTTTGTGTAAAAGGTGAACTCATCTCAAGGGGTAGGAGGGCACGTTCTGAGCATGAAACAGGTGATTTTCAAAACCATAGGTTGTAAGAGGAACCTAAAGTTTGGGCAGGAGTGAATGAAAGTGGGACTTCTTTCAGGGACGTTTTTTTTTTCAGAAGCAGAGGTCTGGGTTTTGAGTCTAAGGATAAAGATTTTGATGTCGGTCCCTGAGGGTCTTATTTAGATGCCCAACACAAATGTCATCAGCTCCATTTCAGGGCAGCTCAGGGTTTGAACCATGCTGTCACAGCAGGCTTGGAGCGGTGCTCCGGTGGCCCAGCTCTGCTCTCTTCTAAGGCCAGGTTACACAAACAGGAATGCCATCTCTACTCTTCATTTCCCCTGTGTGGTCAGTGGATCCCCCTTCCTCCACAGGACCATCTAGCTGCAAAGAGAGGAGATTCTGTCCAGTCCACCAGTCATCTCCAACTGAGCTGATTTTATTCTCCCTTCAACTCTGACAGTGGCTGCAGGTAGAGCAGGGCAGAGATCCTCCCTTCAATCTCTTTTTCATAGATTTCACAGACATTAGGGCTGGAAGGGACCTCGCAAGATCATTGGGTCCAGCCCCCCACCCAAAGGGGCAGGAAAATAAACGTCTAAATGTTTCTTGAAAATGTCCAGAGTCAGTGCTTGCACCACCTCCGTGGGGAGTTTGTTCCAGGCCTTGGGGGCTCAGACAGTAAAGAAGGTTTTCCTTATGTCCAGCCTAAAATGGTCTTGCAGGAGTTTGTGACTATTGGACCTTGTCATCCCTTGGGGTGCCCTGGCGAACAGACGTTTTCCCATATCTCAATGCATACCCCTTATATACTTATAGGCTGCCACCAAGTCCCCCCTGAGCCTGCGCTTCTCCAGGATGCAGTCCCATGGCTTGCAGCCTCTCTTCATAAGGCCTGTTCTCCTGCCCTCTGATCATGTGCGTGGCTCTCCTCTGGACTCTCAAGCTTCTCCACGTCCTTCCTGAATTGTGGGGCCCAGAATTAGATGCAGTACTCCAACTGTGGCCTCACAAAGGCTGAGTAAAGTGGGAGGCTGACATCCTGGGTCTTGTTCGAGATGCATCAGTAGATGCAAGCCAGAGTTTTGTTCGCTTTGCGGACTGCAGTATCACATTGGTGGCTTATGTTCATCTTGTGGTCAGTCATGACCCCCAAGTCTTTTTTGGTCATGAGAGAGCTCTTTTTCACTGGGGGAAGCGGCTCTGTCCCATCACACATGCTACATGCCTGAGGATATGAATGACCAAGGGGGCATGGGTCCATGACCTGGAAAGTAAAGGTAGAAACCTAGGAAACAACATACAGGTTGGGGCAGAGACCCTCTTTTGTGTTTGTGCAGTACTTACCAGGCTGGGGTCCTGGTTCATACCTAGGGCTTCTACATCCTATATTGATATGAACAATAAATTATAATAGCGATGTGTCAGTAGTTTCACCTCTCATTACTTAGTGCTGTGGGTCTAATTCCTAAATGCAGTCAGGGCTTCAGTTTTGCATGTCACCAGCCTGGCCCTTCATTATTTGTCAAAACAAAACCCATTAGTAACTAATAACTTTCATTTTTCTAACAAAAAGAATATTTGAAAACAGGAAGTGATCATGCTGGAGCTTATAGACAATCTTCTGTGCATTGTCCATTGCTCCCCAAAAAGGGACTTTTAGTAACATCTACACAAAGAAACTGCTTTGTGTTTGAGTCCATCCATGCTACTGCTTACATAGCATCAACAATCTGCCATGGCACTCAGTTAAGTATGAAAGTTTGGTCTCAGCTAGAATGAGTTTCATCACAGAAGTAATTAATAGATAAAGGTTGTGTTTAAATGAAATGTAATCAGTCACGTTTATTATATTTCTTGTTTGCAAAATTCCCCAAAATTTTTTCCAAGGATTTATTTTTTAAATGGGAGCTGAAGATTTTAATGCTTCCTTCTGGGTGAATGAGTTTATATAGGAAGTTGGGGTGATGTGTTCCTTTAACTCACATAACCTTTTTCCTTAAGAAGCTGCTCCCGAGTTTTGACTACGTGGACAGGGGGTGCCAAACTCATTTGGGCCCTTGAGCCAGAAGAGTGGTGTGCCCTCTAGACAAATCCCCTGCCCACACATGCCTGATCCAGCACAGGTGGCATCTACCCAGGCCAGTCTGGGATGCCAGAGCTTGGGAGCACCCTGAGTGGGTACCACAGGCAGTGCAGCCCAGGACCAGACTGAGTGCCATGGGCGGCTACTTCCCTGTTACTGCGAGTGCGGCTGGTCCGGGGTAGCACTGTGGGCTAGATTACAGGGCTCCACAGGCCAGATCCAGCCCATAGGCCATATATTTGACTTGCATGATATGATATCTATGTCTTGACTCCTAAAACCAGCGCACTACTTCCAGTTTAGTAATGGCCTGATATCTTGCAGTGGCCAGAGGAAATGCTACACAGACACACTGAAGGCAGACCTCAAGAAAACGGATGCTGACATCAAGAGCTGGGAGGAGCTGACTGATGACTGACTCCAGTGGTGCAGCAACCTCAACCAAGCGGCAACCTGTTCTGAGGTACAGCATCTTGCCTTTGAAGCAGAGAAGAGAGAGCGGAGGAAGAAGGAGAGAAATCCTGGCCTACGGCCTACTTTCCCCTACAAAAAGACCTGAAACTTCTGTGGACAGGTCTGTGGCTCAAAGATTGGACTCTTAAGTCACCTCAAGACCCATCAATGAGCCATGGTAGAGATCATCCTTGAATCAAGGGATGGCCGCTGCCACCACTGATAATAACATACATGCTTTGCTTTTCTTCATTTTTATTGTGTGCAATTTAAACCTAAATTGTATGAGGAAAAAAAAAAGCATTTTTTTTCCATCTGGCATAGGCAGCTGAACATGATACAGTCTGATGGATTAGATTTATATATTATTAGTAAGAATTAGGATGGTGGGATAGTGATAAACTCAAACATAATTAATTAGCTGTTTCTCCTGAGTACATGTCTACATCCATGCCACTTTTTGGTGCATGTAGGGCCCCAGAATCAGTATTTCTGTAAATCAGTATTTCTTGGCCAGTGCCTGCCCCTGGCTGACTTCACGCCCACTTCCATGGAGAGCATAAAGGAAGTGGACTAGGCCAAGCATCCATCAGTTGTTTCTAACCACAGCCGAGGCTGCAAGATGGAATGTCTAATATAGCCCCTTCATCTCAGAAAAGTTTTGTCAGCATTAATTATAAAATGAGTTCTGTACATACTATGAATATATAGTATTCATATCGGATTTATATGGGCACGTCTTTTTTGATTAATGCCCTTTTATCTTTGTCAAGAACACTTGGCACTTGGTTATTAGCTTTATGGTAGCACCAAAATCATTTGGTTTTAGGTTATGCCTCTCATATGGTCTGACTATGCCTTTGAATGATACGCATACAAAATATTTATTTTGTTGAAAGTTAAATACACTCTAAACGATCTATCGGCTGTTCAGTGCTGTTCCAACTTAGAAAATGCTGAGATACCAAACTACAAAACTATATATAAGCTAGCAAAATGCCCGTCATGAATGATGGGGGGAGCGGGAGGTGGGGACGGAAAACTGCATCTGGCTCTGGGCCTTTCCCCCGCCGCTCTGGGTCCAGCCCCACTCCCACCCCTCCCTGTTGCTCTGCGCAAGGGGGGCGTAGCACGTGGCTGAGTATGGCTGTGGGGCATTGCACGGGGAGTGGCCACGACCCGGGGAGCACTCATTGGCTGCATGGTGTAGGGAGCAGCCCCGGGGTGTGGCGCAGTGTACGCAGGGGGGTGTGGCGTGCAGCTGCATGGGGCGGGGGTGTTGGGGCATGGTGCAGGGAGCAGCCATGGTGAGGGGAGCACCTGCCTGCAGCCACGTGGCATAGGGAGTGGCCTTGGGGAGTGGTGCAGGGCTCACCAGGGCGGGGTGCACAACTGCAGTGGGCAGCATGGGCTTGCAGAATGCCCACCGACTGTGGCTGTGGGCAGAGGCCCCGGGGCATGGGGTGGGGTGTGGCACGCGGCCCCAGAGCATGGCGCAGGGAGCAGTCACGGCATGGGGAGTGCCCCCTGGCTGCACCTGCATGGTGTGGGGAGCAGCCCCGGGGCGTGGTGCGGGGCATGCGGGGGTGGGGGTAGCGCGCAGCTGCAGGGTGTGGTGCTAGGTGTGCAGGGTGGGCTTGGTGTAAGGTTGTGCGTGGGACAGGGGTGCGCAGCCACCGGGTATAGCGCAGGAAGCAGCTGCAGCGTGGGCAGTGCCTGCTGGCTGTACCTGTGTGGCGTGGGCAGTGGCCCCAGGGTGTAGTGCAGGGCACGTTGCATGGCTATGTGGGCGGGGGGGTGGCATGTGGCTGCGGGGCATGGCCCAGGGAGTAGCCTCAGTGTGGGGAACACCCTCTGGCTGCTGCTCTGCAGCGTAGGGCATGGCCCTAGGGTGTGGTGCAGGGCACGCTGGGGGCATGCACAGGGCACATGGTGGGGCATGGTGTGTGGTCACAGGGGGCGCGCGGCACCCTGTGGCCATGCGCCCCCCCCAGGTGTGCCACATGCCACCCCCCTGCAGAGCTGTAAGCCCTGTGCCACAGGCCAGGGCCACTCCCCGCATTGTGCCCCACAACAGGGAGCGCAGCCTGGCCCCGACCGCCTCTGACCCCACCCCCCTCCTCTCATCTCTCCAGCTGTAATGCTCCAGGCCCCACATTCGCAGTTGGCCCAGAGAGTTACGTACAGACAGACACACAGCCAGAAATGCCACAGCTTTTATTATATTAAAATACATATGTAAGTGGTATATCTATATATATTCTATTTTTATTACACAGATTTATGGATCTAACTTCAGATTCAGGGTGTTCAGATCAGACAATCTTTGCTCCAGTTTCTTTCATTTGCAGTAATAGGAGACTTAATCTCCACATTCCCAGAGTCTGCTTTTGAAGTAATCAAGTACGATTTCTAGATGAGTACTAGGCTCTACTAAAGGACTGGAAAAGAGAGTCTCATTTAAAAATGCCAGGGACCATTTTCAGACCAGCCTTGTCACTGAGAGGGGGAAAAAAATCCTATTTTCATCATCAGAGACTGCAGGGAAGGGTTTCCGTCTTACTCATCAGCTTCTTCCTCCCATGAGCTTATTGGGTTCCTGGCAATTATCATTGTATAAGAGGAGACCCTACATCTCCTACACATCCTAAACTTAAATTTCCTTCAGCAGGGGAATCTTGCAGTCTTTTCAATGCATCTGTTAATTTACCCCGTAATTGGAAAATAGCAAACTGGTGTCTGTTTTCAAAAGACACTCAGGCAACTACAGGCCTGGTAGTTTGCCCTCAGTAGCACATAAATCTTGGAACAGAAACTGAATAATTAAGGACATGGATGTGAACAGAAAATGGAACAAGATGCAATGTGGCTTTGTCCAAGAAGGTCATGTCTGATTAATATGCCAAAATAATTTATGTTTCTTATGGCAAAGCAGTAACCCTAATCTATCTAGATTTAAGCAAAACATTGGATACTGTGTCTTACAGGACATTATTAGCTAAAATGAAGATGGGAATTAACACTAATAGAACGGAGAAGAGCTGGCTAAAAGGGAGACTACCAGGAGTTATACTGAAAGGAGAGTCAGAAGACTAGAGAGAGGATACTAATGAAGTTCTTTAGGGATAGGTCTGAGGACTCATAGCATCATGAAAAATGAGGGTTAGAAGGGATCTTAGGAGGTCACATCTAGTCCAATCCCCTGCTCAAAGCAGGACAGGCCCCAGTTAGATCATCTCAGCCAAGGCTGTGTCTAGCCAGGTCTCCAAGGATGGAGAGTCCACAATCTCTCTGTGTAACCTCTGGGTCATTTTCTGTAGAGCTGCTCCCCAGCCAGTCAGCCCCAGACTGCACCGGTGCATGGTATTGTTCCCTCCTAAGTGCAGGACTTTGCGCTTGTCCTTGTTGAACTTCATGACATGTCTTTTGGTCCAATCCTCCAATTTATATAGGTCACTCTGAATCCTAGCCCTACCCTCCAGCCTATCTACTGCTCCCCCTCAGATCAGTTATCTGAAATATTGCTAAGGATGCACTCCATTCCCTCTTCCAGGTTGCTGATGAAGATACTGTACAAAATCGGTCCCAGGACTGACCCCTGGGACACTTCACTTGATACTGGCTGCCAACTAGACATGGAGCCATTATTATTGATTGCTACCCTTTGAGCCTGACGATATAGCCAGTTTTCTATCCACCTCATCCTTTTGCACATTTTTAATTAATGACCTTGCATCCAAGAACTAGATACAAGCTTATGAAATTCACAGATGACAAAGTTTGGATGTATTGCCAATATGGAGGACTGAATTATTTTAGAGCAAGGGTTCTCAACATTTTGACTCAAGACACCCTCTGATAAAACTAAGGCACCCCCTGGAAAATGCCAGCTTTGTTTTCACTAGTTTTTTGACTACAGAAAAACAATAGAGTAATTATTCTGTTGCAAAAAAATCTCAGACAGACCACAACAGGTCAGAATATTTTTGAGACTGGATTTCTATTTGAAATCTGTTTCTTTTTTCTTGTGGATCATGTCTGTACACCTAACAGTTGTAATATTGCATGGTACTCCAAAAAGGACCTCAAGGCACCCCAGGGTGCTGTGGCATCCTGATTGAGAATAACTAAAGCAAAGATAAGTAAGTGTGTGGATTGAAGTATCAGAAATGGAATGCAATTTAATAGTGCAAATCGCACACTCAGAGATATATATACCAATGTCTTTTGCTTTAACCTGGGGCTTATGGAGTAGAGGCAATGGAGAGAGGGAGCCGAGTGTGTTTGTTGATCAGAGAAAGAGCATGAGCTGCAGTCATGAAAAAGGTTAGATCAGTCATAGGATGCATTAGGCAAGGTAGGTTTAGTAAGGATCAGGAAGTATGAAAAACATTGCGCATTAATAAGACCCCATTTGTGTGTAGGTCTAGTTACTGTTTTCCAAGAAAAGCTTTAATTAAATTGGAAAAAGTGCATAGAAGTGCTACCAGGATGATTAAGGAAATGGCAAACCTTTCTTAGGTGATGAGGTTAAGATCTTGGTTTCTTTAGCACAGGAAAAGAAAAGTTGAGAGGGGACAGGTGTACTTGGTATAAACATACTTTGGTGGTGGCTGAATGCAGAACAGCTATTTAAGTTAAAGGACAACAGTGATACAAGATCATATGGATAAAAACTAGTCACCACTAAACTGAGACTGGGAATTAGGAGGTTTCTAACTATTAAAGGAGTTAAGTTTGGAATGGTATGAATAATGTGACAAGAATTAGTCACCTGAATTGCTGAGAGCCAGAGCTTGGTAAGTTTATAGAAGGGACATTGAGAGAGGACAGGGATGTTCTAAGAGTAGGAATCAGAGGACGTGATATCTGATTTTGTGTTTGATATCCCCTAAAGGGATTGAATAAGAAATGTGATCTGTGTGGGTGTGGATTGTTTGCATATGTAGGTGGTATTTGGTTGCACTATATTATATTCTATGAATCCCATGTTGCATGGCTTTCACCAGA